CAAAAGCAGAGGGGTTTTTTTTTTGTCTTTTTGGTATGTTCCATTAGGGAATGTACAGTCAGATTGCTGTATGATAAAGTTAATTAATTCTTCTCTTTGTAGTTAAACCGCCAACTCAATATTATACTTGGGTTCATTTATTGTATTTTGCTTTTTTTTTTTAAGAGATTGCACTTTTAGTTTTCTTTAATAATTATATAGAACATTTACATGGTTCCAAAGTTGAATACATAAAACAAGGTAAAATCAGAGAAGTCTAACTTCAGTTCTTGTCTCCTCTTCTTGTAGATAGTCATTTTTAAAAAGATTTTGGTTTTTCTGTCCACCTAATACTATATATAAGCATATTTATATTCATATCTTCCTCTTTTTAGATTAAAGATAGCATACTTCACGCTATTTTCTGCAACACTTTTTTCACTGAGCACCACATCCTGAGAATTACTCAGGAGCAATATGTAGAGACTTTGTTCCATTTTGCAGCTCCATAGTGCTGCCTGATGTGGATGTCCCTCAGCTGAGCCAATCAGTCCCCTCTTGAGGGATATTTGATTGTTTTTAGGCTTTTGCTGTTGCAGATGGCACAGCAGAGAATAGCCTTATGCGTATGTGGTTTGTTTTTTGCTAGCATATCTAAGATTAGAAGCCCGAAAGTGATGTTGTTGGGTCAAAGGGTAAATTTGTGATTTTCCTTAATATTGCCAAAGTTGCCCTCCATAGGGGTTTTGCTATTTTGCATTCCCTCAAGTAGTGTGTAGAGTGTCTATTTCCTCATAGCCTCAAACTTTCAGATTTTTGCCAATCTGATAGATGTGGAATGATATCTTAGTGTTGTTTTAATTTGCGTATCTCTTATTATGGATGTGGTTGAGCATCTTTCCATTTGTTTAAGAGCTGTCTGAATTTCTTTTTTTTTTTTCAGATTTTTTTATTTTTTCCTTTTTCTCCCCATAGCCCCCCAGTACATAGTTGTACATTCTTAGTTGTGGGTCCTTCTAGTTGTGGCATGTGGGACGCCGCCTCAGCGTGGTTTGATGAGCAATGCCATGTCCGCGCCCAGGATTCTAACCAACGAAACACTGGGCCGCCTACAGCAGAGCGCGCGAACTTAACCACTCGGCCACGGGGCCAGCCCCCTGTCTGAATTTCTTTTTACGTGGACGTTTCTTATCTCTTGTCCATTTTTCTATAGAGTTGTTGGTCATGTCTTCTCTACTTTTAGAATCTTTATGTCTTAGGAATGTTAACCTTTATTCTTTCCTAGTTTATACTTTTTCTTTTTCCATCACTAATTTTTTCCCATACGAAAGTTTTTTATTTTAATGTGGTCAAATTTATCAATTTTCTTCTTATTCTGAAGTTTATAACATATTTTAAAAGACTCATATTGGCTGCTGTGTTGAGAAGAGACGGTGGTTGGGGAGTGGGTGGAGGAGGCAAAGGCAGAAATAAGAATACTAATTTGAAGGTGGTGGTAATAATCCAGCTTTGGTGGCTGTAGAGATGGTTCTGGATATCTTCTGAAGGATCTGATGCTGGGTGGGATATAGGGTATGAGAGAAAGATAAGAGTGAGAAGGACTCCAAAGTTTTTGGCCTGCAGGATTGAGTTGCCAGTAACTGGGAAGGAGAAGATTGTGGGAGAGACAGGTTTGGGGGAAGATCAAGAGTTTGGTTATGGACAAGTAAAGTTTGAGATACCTATTGGGCATCCAAGTGGAGGTGTCATATAGAAAATTGAATATGTGAGTCTATGATTGTAGGGAGTGTTTAGATCTAGGAATATTCATTTGGAAATTATTAGCATGTGGAAGATATTTATTTAATAAGTTTCCCCTTTTTACTCACTTATTTTTTATTGAGATATGTTTTACATACAGTGAAATGTACTGATGTTAAATGTACAGTTCAATGACTTTTGACAAACATATATACCTCTGTAACTAACATCCCAGTCAAGTATAGAGCATTTCTATACCCTGGAAAGTTCTCTTGTGCCCCTTTCTAGTCAGTCTACTCCCCAGAGGTAATCATTGTTCTGATTTATATCACTGCCACTTTGTTTTGCCTCTTGTAGAATGGTATTTAAAAACCTAATGCTTGGGGGCCGGCCCCGTGGCTGAGTGGTTAAGTTCGTGTGCTCTGCTTCGGCCGTCCAGGGTCTCGCCAGTTCAAATCCTGGGCACGGACATGGCACTGCTCATCAAGCCATGCTGAGGCGGCGTCCCACATGCCACAACTAGAAGGACCCACAACTAAAAATACACAACTATGTACCGGGGGGGCTTTGGGAGAAAAAGAAAAAATAAAAAATAAAATCTTTAAAAACCTAAGGCTGGGTGGGATCACCCAGGGTTTGGGATGTAGATAGAGCAAAGAAAAGGCTCAAGCACTATGCTTTGAGGAATGCCAGAAATTCAGGAGAAAATGAGGAGGAATGGGCCAGGAGACTGAGTAGGAATGGCCTGAAAGACAGGATGAGAACTAGATCGAAGATAGAGTGGAGAAACCAAGTGAAAAAAGTTTCAAAATGGAAGATGTGGGGCTGGCCCCGTGGCCGAGTGGTTAAGTTCGCGCGCTCCGCTGCAGGCGGCCCAGTGTTTCGTTGGTTCGAATCCTGGGCGCGGACATGGCACTGCTCATCAAACCACGCTGAGGCGGCGTCCCACATGCCACAACTAGAAGGACCCACAACAAAGAATGTACAACTATGTACTGGGGCGCTTGGGGAGAAAAAGGAAAAATGAAATCCAAAAAAAAAAACAGAATGTGCTAAAAAACAAAAAAAGGAAGATGTGATGAACCGTGTCAAATGCTACCAAGAGGTCTTGTAGATGAGGACTGACCAATAGATTTGGCAACAAGGGGATCATTAGTGGCCCTGATGAAAGTTACTTTGGTGGAGTGGTGGGGCCTGAGTGCCTGATTGGAGTAGGTTTGAATGAATGAGAGGAGAGGAATTGGACAGCAAGAATATAGACAAACGTTTGAGGAGCAGAAAAATAGGAAGTAATTGGAAAGGAGTATGGGATCAAGGGAGTATTTTAAAAAAAAATTTTGTGAGCAGGATTTCATATCTTTGTGTGCTGATGTGACTAATCCAGTAAGAGGGAAAAACTGAAAATGGAAGAGAGATGGGAGAGAATTGCTTGAGTAATGCCCCTGAGTCAGCAAGAGGGGATGAGAGCTAGTGCACAAAGGAGGGGCTGATCTGATAGGGGCATAGGTGGTTCATCCAAATGATATTAGAGAAGGCAGGTGGAGATGCAGGTGAGAGCATGCAGAGCTTCTTCTGTGGTTGTTTCTATTTCTCTGTGATGAAGGAAGCAAGGGAGGAAGAGGGAAAATATCAGAGGTTGAGGCGAGAGGTCTAAGTGTGAATTAGTCTGAGAATAGAAGAGTTAATATAATACATCACCACCTCACACCTAACCCTACTGATACCAGTTGTGTGACTTCGCCAAGTTACTTAGTTTCCTCCACCTCCGTTTCTGCGTGGAGCTACTAGTAACCTGTCTCTTAGGATGGTTGTGAGGACAGGTATGAAAACGCCCAGCACTGTTGCCGGCCCATGGGAGGTTCTTAATGGGGGCTCATTCCTTTCCAAAGTAGAGCAATAAAATCAGTAAGAGATTACAGGTAGAATAATGTTTCCAATATTTAAAATACCACTTGAATAGTAATCTAAACCTTTTTCAAATGTGTGTTTAATCTCTGTTGCTTACATGTGCTTATATATTCAGAATCTGGAATTGGATAGTCAAGTGCCACATTTTAAAAAAGAATTAGATCCTTTTCTCCTGGTTTGCCACTTAAATCTATGGGGACTCCTTTGATAAATTTGCCCGCTGGTTTGTTGAAAAGTTCTGAGTGGCTCTTTCAGAGTTCTGTTTGATCTCTCTCAGTTCAATTTGGCTATGCTCAAGAGTGGAATGGGATTGAACCTATTCATTGCAGATTTTAAGATCTAAGATTGATTTAAAATTTTAAATATGGAAAATTTCTAATATTCACAAAAATAAAAAGTATAATGAACTCTCGTGTCCTTATCATTTAGCTACCAACTTAAATGGTATTGAGATTAATTTAAAAAATTAAATGATCTTTTAGACGATATGGAACTGACTTGTCTCGGTTCACTAATGAATAAGAGCTGAAGATTTTGATTTACTAATAATTTGATCTGAGTTCCTGCAATCATTATTTTATTCATTGATTCATGCAGCAGAGTTTATTGAAGGTCTTCTTTGTTCATTAGTGCCTAAGGGCTAAGAGCCTCGGCTGGGTGCAAATCTTAGCTCTGCCACTTGTTCGCTGTGTGGCCTGGGGCTAATCAGAATATTCTAGCTTCAGTTTGCACATTGACAAAATTGAGATGCTGCTGGTATCTATCTTATAGACATGTTATGGGGACTCAATGAGCTACGGTGCTTGCTCAATAAATGTTTGCTACTATTATTGTAAATACTCTTTCTCCTTTTCCTCCTCCTCATCTTTATCATCCAGATTTTGTGCCAGGTGTCATTAGGAAGTGTGAGAGGATTAAGATGTGAACCTTGACCTTGAAGAACTAGAATTTCAAAATCACATAGTATTGGAGCCAGGAGAGATCTTCAAGATTATCTAGTTTGACAAGCCCAGAGGAGTTTAGTGAATTGTCCAGTGTCACATTTCTCTTAGTGGCAAAGCCAGGCCAAAGCTTAGGTCTCTGCTGTGAATACTTTTCTTACAGAATGCTCTGTTGGTTTGTCTGACTCTGCCCCCTTCCTGAAACCCAAGTCCTAGACTGACAATCCTGACCTGCATGTTTTTTCAAGTCTCTGCCTTTTCAATGCACAAACACTGAAGTACGTGCAGGGCTGTTTGCCCACATCAGACCTGCGTGTGTTTCTGGATACTCCCTCCTTAAGGTTCCAAAAAAGACTTCTTGGGGAGGGTAGACAGGCTGTCTCTCTGTGTTGTAATCAAAAAGATGTTTTTTATCTTTCTCTTGTATCACAGCCCAGGAGTTAAAGTCATTGTTTGAAAAAAAGTCCCTCAAAGAGAAACCTTCAAGTTCTGGAAAGCAGTCCATATTATCTGTGCGCCTGGAGCAGTGCCCTCTGCAGCTGAATAATCCCTTTAATGAGTATTCCAAATTTGATGGCAAGGTAAGTGAAAATGAAACTGAAGTAAAATCTCAGTTGAGTGGAATTGGTGATGGTGTTATTATTATTATTAGATTTAAGGTTTTGGAAGTGATCCAGAGTAATTATAGAATGTCATTCATATTTTCTAAGACTGAGGATATAAAAAGGTCTGAGTTTGGGCTTAAAGTTATTTCTACAGTAGTATGTTTGGGAGGATTAAAACAAAAATAGACCTAAGATATGCGTGTGTGTATTTTTCTCCTTTTTTATCTCCTAAATGCACTTGTGGGTTTGGGTTAGGTGAGTTATGATTAATCAAGGTCTAATTGTGTTGGGAAAGCCTTGAAAGTGGTTCTGGGAGTTTGCATTGTCTTGTCTGATTCTTTGTTATAACTGCAGAAATTGTTGAGGTTAGAGCTTCATTTCAGAATTCTAGGCCATTGCTTTCCGTGGCAGTATTTCATCATAGGGAATGTTGTTTGACATTTGCTGTGCAGGGTGACTTTATTTTTTCCTGTTCTCACAATTTGCAGTTGTAAAATTAAAGTGTGTTTATTTTCCTTTTAGAAAAATGGCCACTGTTTTAGGTGGAGTTTACTTCCCTGTGCAGAAGCGTCTCCCCCTCACGCCCTGCCATCCTGGATCTGAGCGGAACTGCGCTTGCCTCTTTCAGGAGACAGTGCAGTTGATTTTTATATTTATGGCCATTATGTTTGCTGTCTGGCAGTGGGTTGGGGGTGCTGAGTAATAGCTTGTTGCCTGGAGGGCTTGTATACAATTTGTCTTATTTCAACACCATTGCAATTAATAAACACACAGCTCTTTGCTTATGTTTGCATTTTTCATATTCAGGTTCTGGTTATGTGCTGGTTCTGTCAGCTGTCATCTTTGAGCAAGGAGATGTTTTCTCTTTAAAGCGCTTTTACCTCATACAGTTCAGCATGTCTCCATAGGTTTAAGTAAGCATTTATGGCCATTGGCCATGTTGATGTTGGTGGGGAATGAGAGCAAGAACTAGAAACAAAATGCGTAAATAACATAAAAATACTAACATGCTTAGGAGTTTCATCCAAAGAACATCTGAAAGCACTGTCACTGAATTAGAGGGCATATTGATGTAAGTCTTCTCTTTAGCTTTCCGCCTGCCACCTTCTCCTGTTTCTTCTTGTGGAGTATAGCAAAGAGAAGGAAGGGTCCCCCTAGAGGACAGGAACATCAGCCTCTGGAAAATGGCGAGTCGGACTGTAGAGGATTTTTTCTTAAATACTACAATTGATTCATTTAGATATGTGAAGTTATTATTGGGATTAGGTTACGTGCCTGGAATTTCTTTGCTTCCATTGCCTGATACTGTCTCATGCTTTGAGGATGTAATTGCTGGAGTAATGAATACATGATAATGCTTTGATGCCAACAAAATAGCACAGATTTTTAAAAATACTGTATTCTAGAATTCTCGTTATGCCATTAGCTTCTATTATAAATTACTTAGGTTTGGATTTGTCAGAAGGTTGGGAGCTCTGTTTGCTATATATCTAACTTCTGAAGTACCAGGGTGAAATTAAAAAAAATGTAAAGCTATTTCCACAGTCACAAAGGAATTATTTTTGCTAGATGTGTTTATGCTTAAGACTTTTGATGCTTTTGTCGTATCAAGTCATTTGTAATCAGGAAAGGATCTGAGCATGGGGCAGTTACCATTACACGTTGATTAAGAAAGATTTATATATCGATAAGTCTGTCTTGTGATGCGGTGCTATTTTATTATTATTCCTACATAGTACAATTGCTAAAACACAATTAAACCCTTGTTCTCATCTATTATTTAATATTGATGCATTTGGCAGATATGTAATGAAAGTGGCTAATATTTGAAGGATATTGTACTGTACATATTAAATTAGTCTTTCTTTATCTTTGTGAAATGCATCAATATGATATTCAATGACATCTCAATGATTAATAGAGAATTATACTTGAGTCAAGCCTTTTTGTAACCTAGAAATTAAAATGACTATTCAAATAACACCTCAAAATGATCAAATTAGCATTTTGTGATTGCATAATAATGGGATTGTAGTAGTTATAACAGCACTATGGCTGCCTCTAGAGTTAAGATCATGTCAACCCCCTGATAATAAAGCCTTTTCTGTGAGAGTCGACTTTAATAATTTCCAGATTGATTCTTCTCATAAATCATTTGACGTTCAGCACTAAATTTTTGTTACTGTTGTAACTTAAAATTATTTTATTTTTATTCAGCTCATATTTAAGGAGTGTCCTGTTTTAATGATTCACCATCTTGTCATTGAACTCCATGCTTTTTGCCTCAAATATAAGGGTTTCCCGTGTATTTTTATAGTCCTATTTTTTTGTTTTCTGCAAAGGTTTGTTATAGCCACTAAAATATGTACATTTTTTCCCCCTACAAATATTCACAATGCTTTTCTTGGGAATAATGCTTGCCTTATTTACATAATTAACTGAGTTGCTTAGGTCTCTTGGGCAAATGGTACATAATTGGGGAGAGAAAGGGACAGGGAAGAGTTTGGGGTCTAATTAAATATGCTAAAAAACTACTTAATTATGTATTTCCTCAGGAGACTAACTGCTGTGAAATCCTCCTCAAGATTAAACTAGCGTTAGATTTGAGAAAAGGATTTTGCTTTTGGTATGGCTTTACAATTACGTTGTAGTTAAGCTAGCACATCTAGTATCTTTAATGGTTTGTGCAAACTGGATTGTTCTTGGGTTTAGTGACTTTAAGGATAAGCATCTCTTAGCTATTGTGCCAAAGTAATGTGAATACTTCCAGATGATTTTTGGTTTCTGTAGCTGGTTAATAATTTAATTTTTAAAAATTGTGATTGGTTGGGGCCGGTCCCATGGCCAAGTGGTTAAGTTCGCACACTCGGTTTTGGCGGCCCAGGGTTTACCGGTTCGGATCCTGGATGCGGACATGGCACTGCTCATAAGCCATGCTGAAGCGGCATCCCAAATGCCACAACTAGAAGGACCCACAAGTAAAAATACACAGCTATGTACTGGGGGGCTTTGAGGAGAAAAAGGAAAAATAAAATCTTAAAAAAAAATTGTGGTTGGTTAATAATTTCTTGAAGGCATGCAATTGAGAGAGAGGCTATACTTAGGCATGTGCTTTGTTGTAATTTTGACAGTTTTTTTGATCAGGTTTATTATGTTTATATTATGTCTGGCAAATTTGTGGTGCTATCTGTGACCTGTTTAGATTCATAGATTATTAATAACTCTGTTTACTGATCATTTGAAAAAAGTCCAAGACAGATTGCCAGTGGTTTTAGGAAATGCTCAGTCAGACAAGGCAAAACCAGGCTCAACCATCTGCCTGAATTCTTGGGGGCTGTTGGAAACAGGACCTCTGAATAGCCTCACTACCGAAACAAAGCCTCTGTTCCAGAGGTTGAGACAATTGGAAACCTTCCTGTGCCAGTCCTCCTGCTTTCCCTGTCTGTGAGAAGTGTTGTTTGTGTGTGACAAGGGGTTGCTTTGAGGTGACAAGGGAGTGGGCTCTTCTGATAGGTAGTAAACATCTCGCACTGATGTGAGGGCCTCTGAATATGCGGATTTCCACCCTGTCTCTCCATCTGTTTCAAATGAGGTCATGTTTTAAGAAGTGTCAATCCTTTCTATCCCATTTCCATTCCCTTCCATTGCAGTCACTTACTTGAGAAGCTCTTGCTAGTGCATTTTCTGGCTAAACTGATTTGCAAGTATTATCGTCATCAGTAGACATCATCACCATCATCAGTCAGAAGTTCAAATACGCATTTCCTGTCAATACTGTTACAAACAAAGGAATGGTACTGATTATCGACTGTGTCACCTCAGTCAGGTTTTTCACCTCTCCCAACCTCATTTTCTTTACTTGTGAAAAGAAATGAGAGTTCCTTCCTCACAAGGCTAATGAGACCATCAGATGGGATAAAGCATCTGGCACAATGAGAGGCAGTGTAACTTAGTTTGTAAGCAGACCTATTTTGTCGTGAGATCCGAGTTTGAATCCTGACTCCACCACTTATGGTGTGACCTCAGGCTAGTTTCTTAACCTCCTGAAGCTCCAGTGCTCATATGATGAATGAGACGACTGTAGGGTATCTTCCTCCTGAGGATTGATTGAGACATAGGAAGAATTCCACAAATACCCCACTTCTGCCTCTTTCTCTCTCTGTAAAGGGTGGGGGCCAGTGATGCTGCTAACTCCTATGTACTTCATTAGGTTGCTGAGAGGATCAAGTGAGAGGGAATGTGCTCTTGAAACTGGCAGTTTAGAATAGCATCGTTAGACAAGATGTGTACCAGACTGGGTGCAGGTCGTCTTCCTGTTGAAGTCCAGGGAATCCAGTGGGCTTTTGGCCTTTAACTTTAGGAAGATTAAGACTAGTAATTACTTCCGCCTTTTTGGCAATGGCTGTTTCTTAAACATCCGGTGAGAAGATAGGTTGGTATTAGTAATTGCTTGGCAGTTTACTAAAATGTTAAATATCTTACTTATTTGATTTAGCTAAATTATACTCTAAATATAAGGAGAATGTTTGCCTTGACAAAGCTTAAAAAAGCAGAACCAGTTCTGGTTCATATAGACAACTGTGACTTTGATTGTGTTAACTTGTTAGAAAGTAACCATTTCTCTGTTAGAAACTGTTTTAACAGGAAAGCTGCAGAGAGCATGGGGGAAGGGATAATTCATGAGTGCTAATTGCTTGGCTGTTAATTTTCATAAGTGTTGATAGAAGCAGTTCCTTAAATTAAACTTTGTTTAAAATGTATCAGGGGAAATATTCCACAATGTCGAGCCTGAAGTGAAAATTAATATGAATGCTGTGGCAATTAACACATACTGGTTAATAGCTTTTAGCAGCATTTTGGGATGATAGTCCTTAAATACATTTTTGCATGCTGCTCCTGTTTCCGCATTGTTCCAGCCTATGTCTGGATAATTATGAACAAATGTTTTCTACAGTCATTGGCATTAAATGGCTCTC